GGGAACGAAATTACCGGGCTGGACCTTGATTAGCGATTCGTATTCTTGGCATCCGCATTCATCGATAGTAAAATTTTATGTTTCAATTTTGATGTCCATGTATTCAAAGCTTAGGAACGCTTACATACATCAAAGTTTAAAATTTTCCACTTCGAATTATGCCAATGACTTCTCATCCTGTAATTGTTGAAATCTAATTCAATCGGAATAGAAACATAGAAAAATTAGAGCGAAGCTAGTAAAACGATGGAATTGTTTTCAATAGAAATTATTCTGAAATGTTGCCTCTCTTGAACTCACAAAAGATTTTGCGTTCCGTTCGACAAGGTAAATGTTAACCCAACAATTTATAAGGAGCAAATATGAAAAAAAAAGGGACATAAAATATCATTGTACCTGCGACAATGCAGACATCACGCGAGATGGAAACTTTACCAGACGGGTTTGAATTCGTGTACGTTAGGTGGAAGTAGAGCAACAGAGCACGAAGTAGAGCAGTTCCCCCAGAAAAATAGTTCTCAAAGAAGAATCTACGTAATACATGACTTTGCTTTAAATTGCACAAAGGTCCCTTTAGCGATATAACATTTGGCGCGGGTACGGTGTTCTCTTCGGCGCTGCAATCTGTAATACAGTACGTTTCTCTTTGAAAAATACCTACAAAGGGGGCACATCTGAATAAAATTTTTGGCCGTGAGCACGACAATACGTGACATTCTGCACCACTGATTACACGTGTACAACCTGCAACAAGGATACACAAATGTCACATAAAAAATTACGTTTTGTCATACATACATATATCTCAAATAAATGCAATAACTCGATGTCATTTAGCGAGAAAAGTATTACGAGGATAAAAGCGTTCATACTGAAATGAGAAAATGAAATATAATTTAGTTTACTGTTCTTGATTCTAATGTCACTGAAAATCTTGGACTGATTGCAGCGCATAGTTATTAACCAACTTGCAAATTGCTTCTATCCAGTTTCCGACGTGTATTGGACGGCGATACACGCGAGTAAATTATTATTCAGATGCGATTATATGTACAGTAAAGTGCTCTATACCGAACGGCGATCGTTTCCTCAAACAGACGAGAGGATAATTCCATTACACATACAGCATACTAACGCCATAAAGTTTCGCTCTACAATGCTATCGATAAAAATTATTCTCGACTATGTGCTTATCTTTTATTTACGGCCTATATATGTATTATATATCCTTGTTGCCCCCAAAATGTCGATGGAGGTGTTCATTTTGAATCAGTAGGTACACTCTATGAATTCTTCGACATTTTATGAATGTCAGAGTTTGGGAATCCTCTCGCGAAGCAACTGCGAATGGATATTTTGGTCGCATGCGGTTCACGACGAAAGTGATATTCGAAAGCGTTCGACGGAGAAGGGAGAAACGAAGAGAGCACTTGAAGCGAAGCATAGAGAAACGAGGCTGCGCCACTTTTCGCAACACCATGAACTTAACCGAGAAACTTCGTAACTTGTTTCTTCGTTGAGAATGCATCGTGCAAGATCCAGAAACCCCGGCATACAAGGTACGAAAGTACTGCAACGTTTCCAAACAAGATTACCTTGTAATAAGATTTATACAGCTGTGCGTCTATTCCTGTTACATATACAGCGCAATGCGCCGCAGTTACTTTCGTGTGGGAGCCCGGCGAATTTCCATAATACGGTGCATCGCGTAACGTTTTTCTTTTCGGTGTTAATTGCATCGCGCTAATGAATTCATGCGAATCGCGCGACGACATCGCATCAACGGCCGTTTCCCGTTTCTCGTTTACACGTTACGATGAGTAGGTCGGTCCGTCTGAACTTTCAGCTTCGCGAATCTAGTTTACAGGGTAAACTCTGTCGCAAACTTCCTAACTCATTTCTTCTTCGAGAGCACGTGATTGGGTAACAGGTTTACGGAAGGCAGAACAAGAACGCACGACATTCTAATAAATATTGTGTTTGCTCGTAGGTATCGAGTACTTTGGAAAACACTTTAAATCGGATTAATTAACTTTGAAGCCATCAACGCAAACGTCGTGCTTACGGGACGTGTAATGTTTGATTCGACTAAACATAGTTCAATCCATGTTGAAATTGCTTTTTCTGAAACAAGGCATAGGGTTTTTATACGAATGGGGATATCTCGTAGTTTGGATAGTCGGTTAAAAGGATGATCGAACGCAGGCAGATTACCATTAGAAAAATGAAATAGCCACATCGAACATTATCCTATTTTCGTTACCGTTAAAAATTTCGTGCATTGAGAAAATTCGTAGGATCGCGAAAGTTTTCATGGTGAACACGAATTATTCGTAATCATGAACGTTCTTTCAAGAATCGATTTATCATCAGCACGCAGATACTTTTTAACTTTCTTGTCAACCGTATCTATTTTCTAATCATTTTAAGTATTTCAGATAAAAAAGAATATATTCGCTGATATTTCTACGCTCTTTCCCAAGTAAAATTTTCGAATAATAAACGGATTAATGTCTTCGGTATAATAAAAACTTAAAAGAGAAAATTAATTAAAACCGAATGTAGTGTTCATGAAAGCAGTAAAATATCGGTCTCTAGAGAATATACATCATTCGTACAGGTAGACGGACTTGACTTTTGAAGTTATAGCGTTCAGTTCACCTACCTTTAATCGATGCATACATTTCAAACAGTACCTTCATAATTAGAATAATGAAAGCCTTAATAGGAACCTCTATGCGAAGAAAGATGTAATTGTGGATGGAAAGTTTAAAAGCATTCCCGGTGCCTTTGATGATTAGAGGGCGCAGTGGGCGCGGTTACTTACAATTAGGTAGTTAACTCGTTCGTTCCAGTAGCAAGGTGGATCGAGAGCACGATTCGCTGACACACAATTTCTCTTCACTGTCGTAGTCTCATGATTTTGCTTAAATACAACAATTGCACGCGTCAACGTTCGATTGAAATATTCGAGTACAGTAAAAATTCTTCATGTGTCGAAAACTTTGTGTAATGTCAGACAAATTATTTGTCAAAAGTGCAGTATACTATACAGTATACAGAGAGGATAGGACGTTGTAAAAGGTAGTAGCTCGATATTAGAGATGTCGTACTGCAGACAACTCGGGATTACTACATTTTTCTTGTAGTTACGATATCACTGTATCGAAAATATCAGAATTCATAGATATCGTTTTCCTATTATGTGAGTACTTACATACATATACCGATATCTTGCCAATTGTGGAATTCAATACATATATGTATCTATTTATACGGAGAGGTGTTTCACCGTTGGTGTAGATTTTGTATTTGCTCCATATGAGCCGAGTTTTCTGCTTTTTATTTTCAGTTCTTTTATCGTAATTTCGGCAACGTAGTCGAGGTTGGTAAACTGCAAGCAAACAACGCAGTGTTTCTTAATGGTTTGTGGCGAGTGGTCGCCGACACAGAGGAGAAAAAGTAGAGGATCGTGGAAAAGCAACATGTCCGTCCAACGAAACGTCAAGGAAAATTCGTAAATTTCGGAAATCTAATACATTCGGAGTATAGTAACCATGAAATAAATTTTGGGGTTAAAGCGTATGTCTTGGGCTATCGTGAAAGGCTTTCACCAATCTCCAGGAATCACGGTAACCCGACATCAATGAAGAAGCCTCTGATCAAACCTTGCAGACAGACAAAACTTCGGTAAAACGTTCGCTGTAGAAACTTGTAAAAGTGTATGACCAGACAAATTCTCGCAAGTTTCCGCGAAACATTTCCATCCACGGCAGAAAAGTCTCAGATGCCGCTGTTTTATGAACGATGAAATCAAGTTCGTATTTTCAGAACTGTTCACCGCTACAACTATGGCAAGTATTTATCTGAATGTTTTTTAGGAAACAGCCTGATTACTTGTTCTTACGGAAACGGATAAACTAACATATTCTCCAGAAATGAGAAAAGTTAAATTTTAAAACCAGACTTACTTACTCCATCTAAAAGTTCAGAAACATATTAAACGTACATCTGTGCATGAAATTCTACGTTTGCATAGACACTAATATTTCTGTTTTAGCGGGGATCCAATATGATAGAATATGATATGGAACTGAATGAAAGTGAAACCATTATTATCCTGTTCCGTGACACATAACAGTTGCTTTGACAAATTCTGTACATCGATTTAATCATGAATGTTGTTCATGAATGAAAGGTCGTACAAATTTTTTCGTCATATTAATCTGATCCTTTTTATCATCGATAAACATGAGTTTTCTCAAAGTTCGTTACATAAAAGGTTAATTACTCAGGAGATTAAGCTTGTCAGACAATAAGGCGAGTAGGTTAAACAAGCGGGTTGATCGATTTAGCTTTTCCTGGTTCATCCATTAGGCGTTCAAAGTGTAAGAACATCGATAAATATTTGCATCGTCCAAAGTGTCTCGTCTAATCCATGTTCGCTTTTGTGTACACGTTTCTCTTCTGAAAAACGTTACATCAATTTCCTCATTTCTCATTTGTTCATTCTACGCGCAGGCAGTCCCGTCTGAATATTTTTAACATTATTTTGAACATAGATACATTGTGTACCTGTGTTTTTTTTCTTTCTGGTCTATAGACGCGAAGCAAATAATTCTAAGCAATTAAGGTCGATCTTGTCATTTATCCAGGAATTGACGTAAGACACTTCGACGAAGTCGACAAATTACTGTATATTTCGTGCGGGTCAACTGAAATCTAACTATGGATTCACCGCACGATCCAAGGTACGTGTACACGAATGAGTAAAATGTAATTCTCGGAATAGATTACGCGAAGCGCTGTGATTCTCGATCGCTGTGTGCTCGCCGTATGATCGAGTGTTCGCCGCTCAGAAACAAGAACAAAACTTCATAGGTATCGGGTAATAAATTCGAACGTTTCATCTTCATCGGTCAAGGGACATTAAGACCGCGAGGGATCCAATGACAACGGATACCACGAATGAAGATAAAACCAACCGATCCTGCTGCAAAATGACTCCTTTGATGAGCCTGGAGAAAAAGGAGAGCCCCGTGAATCCGTACAATCGATCCGAATGGGCGAAAATAAACTCGAAATGGCCACTCCCGGATACGGATGACAATGAGATCAGCGCTGTTAATAGTCTGCCCCAACTCGACTGCGGTGCATTCCCCAAATCGTACATGGACACGTGTAGCTGTTGCCCTCACGAGACCTTTGACAAGCACGGCACAGACACTATCATCAACTACAGAAACATTGTCCTCAAGGACGAAGGTTGTTGCAAAGCACATTGGTTGAGGAAAGAATGTTATCAAAGAATTAAGACCAGGGTGAACAAAGCGGTTAAGGTACAGCGAGAGTTCTGTTTCGTATTCTACAGAAAAATCAAACATCTTTCAGACATTTTAAATGCTTCAAAGAACGTACTAACGCTTTTCAGAGACACAAAATTTTTTTAATACGCGGCGAGTTACCGAAATTGAAAGAAGCTTTGGAGAGGAGAGGTTGGGTACAGAAATATGAAGCCACAAAAACAAGAACTCTGCCTTACGGTTAGTTTCCTTACCGCCTTTAATTAAATTTCTCTCTCTTCCTGGGTCTCTTTTTAATTAAACATTAACCGCGTGAACACCGGTAAAATGTCTAAATAAAATGAAGCTTCTCACCGCCATGAACTTTTATAATAATGTAAAAACCGACATTTTTTCGAAACTTTGAACTGGCCGCTAGAAATGCCGTCTGTAGTTTCTTTTACGAACCTCTGTTCGATGTTTAGGTAGTGTGGCCAGCTTAGAGGCAAGATCATTGGGCGATCTGACCCTAGCGGATGGAACTTTAAACGAGAAAGCGGTGATTTTCGCTTTATTACGTCACAAATCGCCAGATTTTATATGGGACTGCCGAAACGACTTTGTCGACTGGCACCGTGGCCTGAGTAGTAATACCCTCCTGAACAGATACCAAAAACCGTCCGTTTACACTTCCAAGGTTAACGCTCTTTATGCTCTTCTAAAGATAGAATAAGAAATCGAAGCACGAACAAAAAAAGAAAAGTTACTGTAAAATGCACGATTGAAATTGCTGGGTATTCCATAATTTGTGGTGATATCGTTGCTTTATGTTTCGAGTGTTCGTTAATTGTAATCGGTGAAAGGTAGGTAATGCGATCGCGATTACGAATAATTGTAGTTAGGAATGGCCCGTGTACTGGAAGAAGCGCACTGGTTGTACGAGAGTGACGTGGCGAGCGTGTTGTTCCCTCGGAGTTACAACCTCAGCAGAGAGCCGAAAGCTTTTCTCGAGGATTTTCGACTAACCGCTGCTGCTGGCCTGTTGAAGTGGTTCGTACAAAGAATGCAAGATGACCAGGAGACGGGGGACCTGGGACAACGTACGATTCCAATGAGTCGACTGGAATTCGCTATAAAACGCTGCGAGGAATTTACTGCCTGCGCGAACCACCAAAACATAGATGAAGACTTTGTCGCCGAGCTTCCGGACGAAGAATGGAATTCCTTTTTAGACGATTACACGACAGCAGTTCACGACGGTGGTGGAATCGAGTACACGTCGGAGAAAACTCTAGAACATTTACAAGTATGTTTACGAGTAGCACTCTTTTCCTTTTCCGAATGAAACTTTGAAAAGCGCGTTTCTCTTTTCCGATGGGTGTTGCCTTCTTTACAATCGCGAATGTACTAATTCGATCAATAGCGTAACATAGCTGCTTTTGTCGGGTACGATTCTATTTTGTAGAGGTATTACGAAATAGCAACGTCAACATTGTTGAAGCTGAAGGAAGTCGATCCGCAGTACGAGTTGAATGGAATGCGAAACATGTGGATCCTGAAACCGAGCGAACTCTGTTGCGGTACCGGGATAAGCATATCCCACAGCTTAAAGGACATATTCCGGAAGGTAAAAGGCAGACCGAAGGATTACTTTATCGTCCAGAAATATATCGGTATGTGTTTTGAAATTTCAACTATTTCATTGCGAATCAGTCCTTTTCGATTAACGTCAATACAGCGTTCTTTCCTATTCAGAGCGTCCTTTATTGATTCACGATACAAAGTTCGACATAAGGCAATGGTATTTGGTCACCAGCACGTTCCCGTTGACGATATGGTTGTTCAAGTTAGTTTTATTCTACCTACAGGGAATCACGTTGTCACCGCGCGGTGAACTTTGAAAAATCGGAGAAATACTTGCAGCTTCGGTAACGAAACAAAACCAGAGGAAATTGAGATAAAAATAATCCGTTTAGGGATAAATATGACGAAAAAGCGTGTAGATATATCGGTGTTCGCAAAGTGATTCTTTTAAAAGCAATTCACCGTGGAAATACGCTTTCGAATTTTTCCCGAAAGTATTTCTTCGGTAGAGATTCGGCTAGATTCCATCAGAGAATTTCCTTGATCCTTTTTCATCCTTTTCCATCAGGGAGGGTCTACTTCGGTTCAGCTCGAAGCCCTACACTTTCTCAACTTATCACGAAGCGATTCATATCTGCAATACCGCTATTCAGGAGAAGTACGACGAGGAGAGGAGAAGAAGGAGGAAACGTGGGTATTCGGAGGAAGTCGTAAAATCGGTTCGCGATCAAGGATGGGACTGCGAGAAGCTGAACGAATATTTAAAGTAATCGCTCGACCGGTCTGCTCGTTATATGAGAAGTTTCGGTTATCCGTTCGTTACACTCGATAGCCCATGGGGATGAATCTCAAGATTGATAGGTCCGGTGCGCAAATATGCTCAGGATCCGTGAGCTTCCTCCTCGGTTGCTGTCTACCATTCCCTCCACTATATTTTCAACATCGATAACAGATTTTTCTTACCTGTTCTTCCCTCCGCGTGTCATTTAAATGTGCAGATTTCTCTGGGACAACACTGTATATGTATACAATTATTGTCTCATATTATCGTATACGTATACCGTATTTATGATGTTCGCGAGAATGCGTTTGCAACGATCTACGTCGCAATCTTCCATTTTTTCTAGACAAATCGGCCTCGAGGGTGAACCGTATTACGATCTGATCTACCCGAAAATGGCAGAAGCGATAGTTTTAACGATGCTGGCTTCCCAGGAACACATGGACAGAAGACGGTGTAGTTTCGAGCTATACGGAGCTGATTTTGTCGTGATGGAGGACCTTTCCGTTTGGTTGATCGAGATCAACACGAATCCCCGGATGCACCCGCCCAGCTCGAGAATTACCAAGCGCCTCTATTCCAGTGTCCTCCAGAGCTTGGTTAAAGGTTAGCAAACTACGGTCTATAGGGAATCACAGACAGAAGGAAGTTATCAGGAACCGCGACTGCGGGAGAAAGTTTCGGGGTGAATAGAGGTCGGGACAAGACAACGAATAGTACGTTCTGTAATGTTTCCTTCGGAATATTCGAACAAGCTTTTGAGATCGTCTAGTATCGACTGCTGTGGCTTTCCGGTCTCTGATTAAACAACTTTGCTGGCTGGCAATACGAATCGAGCGGGCAACCTTCGACTCTTTCGGTCGGGACACTCCCACCGAAATGACCTTAATTTCCTTTGATCGAATCTAGGTCGAATGGGATGCTTTCGCGGTCTCTTCTTATCATTAGACACATAGGGACGTTACTTTTACCGTACACGAATCGTACGAAATCGTTCAGTCATCAGTCATATATATTTTATTGATCCTTCACAGATATTGTTCCGTAAACAAAACAAAAAGCAAATACATGTACGTACACGTAAATTCTCGTATAGGACTGCCAATCACGGTAACTCTTTAATAATAGTTGATAATAGTTGAAGGGAAAAGAGAAACGGAGCAAATCTTACGTTATTGGTGCTTCGATTTTCAATTTCTTCCAGTGGTAATGGACGTGCCGATGAACTCGGCAGCCGATACAGGTGGATTCAGTCTCGTATACAAGCAAAGTATACCCGACTTTCGACCTTACCTTGGCCCTTGCCTCTTCGTGTTCGGCAAGTCGATAACGCTGCAAGAATATCCACGAAAACGGGAGAAAAAGAAGGGCAAGGTGAACAGTTGGACCAAACCGCAACAGCAACAGCAACAAAAGCAACAGCAACAGCAACAGCAGCAGGTGCAGCAGCAACAGCAGCAACAGCAACATCGTGCTTGGACTGCTCCACCTATGATTCCACGCTTGAGAGAGCCACAAATAGTTGATTTCATCGACTACTTGAATACCGCCCGTTGCACCGCAGCTAACTGATGCGCGAGCGCACGACCTCTTGTTACCGTCGGTGCAATCAATCAACCAGTGCCGGTCGATAGTTGGTAAACTAAAATGCGGTGATTCGATAAAACGTACTCAGTCGAGCTGATACGCACGAGACCATTGCGCTTTAGTCGGTAAACAACGAGCAAATAGCAAACATAATTTGCACACCTCTGAACACTGAAAAGACTCCATTCTCCCACGGTCTTGATTCTCGGAAGCTGTTTCAACTGGACGATCTCTTCCGTACAATCGCAAGTAATTGAGAAAGAAAAGAAAAAAACAAACGGATGTCCTTCCTTGCTGCAGGTAACAGAGCTCCGCGATCCGTATTACATATTTTCAATTCGGTAATCGTCTGTTCGCGCTCTGTTGAAGAATGGAAAATTTTGTTTCAACCCGACCGAGTTTGTTACGGTTCAAGAATATCCGGGTTCGCATTTTCGCGCGAGTTTAGTGGTTCCCACAGGTCGGCGTAGCGAGCACGTAGCTATCCAGGAAAAGTCAGTTGCACCGTGGCGTAATTAATGGCCGCTAGATAGACAAAGTAATTAACGTTGTCATTAGCCGGTGCCGTCGCTGCGTCGACGCTTCTTTCGGTAACTTCCTGCCAGAAATACTAGCTGAATGTGCTCGCGACAGTTGAAGAAGAGAATCCACTTTTCGCGCAGAGTCTTTTATCCCGTTCTTGACACGACGGGAGCAAATGGTGCATCGAGGTAAACCGTTATGTATATGAACCGTGGTAAATTTTCAAGGGGGAACAGTAAAATCTTTTTTTTTTCTCGCGAACTCGTATTTTGGGTAAAATATTCTGTCGCTCGAAGCTCGCGGTATTTTCTTGCCAAAAAGTGCAGTGGAAGTCGACGACATAATATTCTCTCCTAAAAAATTCAAACAGATTTGTTGTTGTACACAGAATTTACAGATGAATTGAAATAGAACGGCGTGAATGTAAAGAAAATATAATATAAATATAAATGAAAGTCTAAAAACTTTGTTTAGAGAAAAATAGTACAACACTGATTGTGAAACAAACAAAAAAAGACCCCAAAGATAAAGACAATCGTTTTATTGATATGTACATACAATAAATTTATTTACAAATAATACAATAAATTTAGACGTCATAAGTTATTCGTTCTTGATAATATATCTTAACAAAATACTACGCTCTTATCGATTATTGTGCCGTGCTGATATTCGAAAACTCTTTTGGTCACGGAAATTCAATGTAAATGTAGGTAATATTCGGTTTTACCCTGCACAAATATTTACCCAAAGAACGTTAACGATCATTGGCGATGCGATCGTTTAAAATCGCCTTGCAATATCGTGTCGGGTATGTACGTGTCCTTTCTTTTTCTGTCTTCTTTTTTTCTTGCGAGCTTTTCTTTTTTTTCCCCTTATATAAATATTACGTTTAATATTATTAAAATTATAAAACAGATCGGCCATGCTCTGGCGTACGACGAACTTCCGTCCCCATGATGCATCGCAGCCGGATGTTCCTCTGTAACAGAAATTGTTCACCTCGAATCGTGTACATATAAGTACAAATTTTTCGATCGATAGAGGTCGCCCGATTTGTCTGTGCCGTACGGTGTTCGGTTGGCGGTATCGCGAGAGTGGAGGTAGGACCATGGCGATTCGAACAATTAAGAGAAAGAACGTGCAAACAGACGTTACCGAGCGGATCAGTCAGGTCGATGACGGTGATAAATTACCGGCGTGCACGACGTGTCGCATCGATCTGCATTCGCGTCAACTAAGGCCGTACACGCCATTGTACCGGGCAATTAACGCTTGAAGTTGATAAATAACATACCGGAAACTCGGCTTAACTTATTTCAAATTATCGTGAAATCCACGCGTCCGCTTTCAGTCCGTGATAACGTGTCAACGTGTGCACTCTGATAATTTACAGGCTAAGGACGAAACAATTATTTCGACGGTAGTTAGGTAGGTGGTTGTTTGCTCCTTTCGGTGTAGGACACGAACAAAGCCGAGCTTATCCGAAACAACGTTATTCTAGAAGTTACTTGGTGTAACGTCATCCCTACGCTGTAGTCTTTTCATTTTCAAAAAGTTCCCACGAACGGGTACCTACTGCGCGAATTCGAAACGAAAATGATGAATTCGCGGTTACATCGTGACTGAAACGATCATTAAATTACACGCTGATTTACCGTTCGCCGAAACGATGTCGCCTCGCTATTGAAAGTGGTAAACCGTGTCAAACTGAAGTTTGCCCGACGTTGGCTTTCAACGAATTGATATACACGCGGGACGAGTAGATCGATTCGAACCGACACGACGTCGCATCGCACCTGTACTCGTGCGCGTTCCTCGCCAAGAAGGATGCTTGCAAAGTATTTATCGAGAAGTCAATTAATGCAATGGACGTTGGCACGCTCCTATTCGATAAACGATAGGTAAACGAAGAAATGTCTGCGAAATATGTCACGACACTGACCGTTAACAACGTGCACCTTGATGCTGCTGGGATTCGCGTTGCTTGGCTCGCATGTGTAGATCCCAGAGTCGCTCGGTACGGCTTTCTGGATCATTAACCGGCTAGTCGTTTCGGGTCCTTTCTCCGTCACCAAGCTGATACCGCCGCGTGGCGAGTCAAAATTAATTACCTGGATGAACAGATAAAATTACTTTTACACATTTGCGTTCGCTGAATTCAAGCTCGGAGCGACCACTAACGTTATTCATCCTTACAAAAAGAAGTGCAGGATTCGCGATGGTTGGTTACACGAAACGCATTAGAGACACCGTTTGGTCTCAAAGAAACTAAGTCCTCGAATTATTCGCTCGTTCGAAGCAAAAGATATTTACGAACGTAGGTACACTCTTGTACCTCTTACTTCGTCAAGATAAACGACACGTAATCGACGATCATTCTAAAAAATCTAAGAACCGAAGGCATCGAGAGGAACAGATTCCAAATGGTTTCAATTTATTTTCCAGATTACGTCTGGATTGCTTTTACGCTTCTCGAAAGAATTGCATTTGCTTTTCGCTTACAAATTGCAATCGCACTTTGCAGGAAAAACTTCGAAACCGAGATAAAACTGGACTATCTTCTCTTCTTAATTGAGCGCGCGCATTCTTCGACGTTGAGATATTGTTATTCGACCAGCAAAAAGAGAATGAAATTTGTGACGGGAAGAGTTACAAGGAAAAGTATTTTAAGGGGGTTGGAATCCAAGAGCTTTGTAAAAGGCGATTCTTCTATTCTTATGCCTTTCAGTCGAAACTCTTGTGTATTCCGTCGAATACCTGTGGCATGCGTGTACAGTTATAAAGCAAAATATTGGATCTACAACTACGTCACACATTTCGGATCGCAATCACTCCCCCAGAAGGCACCACACGGCTGCTTTCTCATATTCTCGTGGAAACCGTGCACTCGTTGTTGCTTCGTGCGAAGACAAAAGGTATTTTGCTTGAAGGTTCGCAAGAAGAATGGTAAAAAGACAGGTGTAGTGTATGCGAGCCGTATATTCCCTTTGAACGGGCACAGAGAAACTTTCAGAGAACGTAAAATGAACGGCGAATAGCCAGCCAGCCAGCCAGCTTGCCGTGCTAACTCGGACATTAACTGCGCACTACATATTATACTCACCTACGTATTATCGAGTTACGTCCTTTTCTCTTTGAAAAATTCTGAACGCACGACGACGGGAGATTGGAAACGGTGTAAAAATGATTTTACAATTCTATTATACGATCGAGCGTTCGACTTACTCGAACCTATTAACCATCGAGTTACCACTTACAATTAGAGAACGTCCGATTTATGGAAGCATTTACCTCTGTGTTGTGACTCCATATCATCATGGGCGGTGGTTCTGGAGCATACTTCACCACGCAAGTCAGGTTAATGGTGCTACCCTTGTTGACGAACAGATCGGGAGCTCCAATAATAATAGTAATTGGCTCTAAAACAGGGAATTTGAAATACATAAGTACATATCAATTCGTACTTCGTTTCGTTCACGACACTTTCTGTATCATGCATACTTTTATATGCTCGAGCGATTTATCGTTTAATTCTGTTTAATTAATTGTATACACTTTTGTTCTCATTTTTGCAAAGGTGTCCATCTTGCTTCCAATACATTCCAATCGAGAATTAACATTTTGACTGTACGTTGTATAATGCGTCAGGTCGCAACGAGAATGTAATATGTATGTAGAATGTAGTAGGGGACCGACATGATATTAACAATACTATTTAAATGGCTGATATTTTTATCGCGCGGCGAAATATGGAAGCAAGCGTTGGCTAAAGTTTTCAGGTCAAGTCAGTACGATAAGATCCTCTCATTTAATAGTGTGGCCCGGTTAGGATATCACAGCAGTCATTAACGGTATACCTACCTGCCAGGATATACGAGCTCGCAGTACCTGGCCTGGTTTCACCTGGTTTGTATACCCACATGAAATCTTTCTACGGATTTCATACGTATCCTCGATTAACCTTTTTCACGCAGCACTACGAGACATCCCGAAATATGCATGTCTTGAACTGAATTTCATACACACTGATCAGAAATGTGCTAGCAAACGTTTCGCTCACTTTTTCCTCTTTCTTGACGATCGTTTCAAACGCTTCTCCCAAAACTAACTGGTTCCAGAATATATTATCTATCGATAAGTATCTTGTCATGAGATAGAATATCGTTTAGTTTACCAGGTACAAGGTACATATATTACCATTTGACATGAATAATTTAGAGTATATAGTAACAGACTAACGTATCAGAATTGCCGAAATAATTGACCTATATACTTCACAGTTCATTAAATCGGCCAGATATTGGCGTTAAATGTGTGCCCGGATATATCGCGGTACTTTGACATTTATGATGCCTCCGAGGTGCATGTCAACTTTCCAAGTGAATAATGATACTCATCCTATCGAAACAAATTCTCTTGTGATTTATCGTTCAATTTCCAGAGGAATTGGTCGGCGGATCAATGAAAAGAATAATTCAATAAACGGCAATGAAATCAAGCAGCGACTACGTTGTGAAATAAACAGATAAATTTGCAATGAAACGATACTTGGTTGTCGTGCAAAACGAAACTTGTATATTTAGCTTGTACGCTATACTTACCGACTATCGTTAGATAAACAGGATGGCCGATAGGCGGTGTTGTTGATATTTGGCACTCATAAATCCCGGAGTCTTTGCGCTGAGGATAACGTATCCTCAGCGTCCACTCTTCGGTGTGTGGAAAGTGCTGAGCTTCGAAACGTTGGTCGCTCGTGTACGTGTAACGACCAACCGTTAGTAAGTGTATGTCTCGGTGCCTTACCCAGGAAACCTACGGCAAAACACGAACGTTGCTTAGATTTTCTCGAAACGGGAATCCACATGACTCGAAAAAACTACATACATACATATGTATATCATACATCTATCGTATTGGCTTAAATCTGCCAGAATTCGGTTTTCTTTCTCAACATTGTACCGGTGTTGAAACGGATAAATTGTATCGCATTGCATAAATCGATAACTTCAACAGCATCTCAAATAATTATCCAAGTACGATGGTTCAACAATCTCTGTCGTGAATTTTAGCAGACGATTCGCAGTCAAAATAAAAATTCACCACGGGGCGTGTTATCTCGTCTCCGTTTTATTCGCGGATTTTGGAGCACGGTGGCAAAAGTAGGTCGGTTTCATTGGTCGTGGCAATTTTTGCGGTTACTCGATCGGACAAATGCCTCTCGATAGAATCGATGAAAAACTTGATACCCGAATCGCGCGCACCGCGCACCCCGCGTGTCGAGTTAATTCCGAGGCCAACAGGCTGAGCCCTCGTACGTATTTAAATCAATAATCTACTGACAATATCAATGAACCGAGAACGTAATTCTGTGGAGTGCATTCGCTTCGAGTTACATTTACATCCGATTGACCTTAATTGTCGTTTAAAGAACGATCAGGACGCTGCTGGGATGATAATCGGGAAAATCGCGCACGATTTTATATATGTACCTTTTATTCGTTTATCGGAGTGATATGAAAGAACAGGGATTGAAAATCGAGAGCCACTTTGGATCAAAAACTAATTCGTTCGGCGTAATGAGTAGATGGGAAATGTGGAACGTATTTCGTTTGGTAATACAAATGAATTGTACGTTAGGTTAACAAACGTTTAAAATTTTTTTGAAGACGTTACCTATAGTAACACGGCGAAAGAGAAGTTGCGAGTGTCCTCGAAACGGACACTCGTCTTGTAGCAGGAACAAGGGATCAACGCGGTAGAAAAAGTGTTCTGTATGTAATGTACATATTTCGTTTCACGGGTGGTTTGTTCCGTCGCGAACCAATTTCCTGTAACGCGGACTGCACTTCGGGCGAGACAAGAGTGACGTCACCATGGAGATTCGGTATTGTCCCGGTTCGGCCGCGAACCTGGCATCTGCGGCAACCTGCAGTTCTCGAGATGACACCGACGTGTCATCGGCATTAGTCTCGGCATTGTTTGCTGAAATCCAACCGAAACCTATGCTGTTCGCGTGATCGTGCGAGCCGTTTTCCATGCACAGTGTGGTTCGTCTCATTGCGTCGCGTCGAGTCGAGTCGCGGCGTCGCATTTACTCGCGAGTAAAACCAACTCGGGCGAACGAGCGAGCGACTAAAAGCGGACAGGCCAAGTGTCCACGAATGGTGCCGAGCGAATTTCGTGGTTTCCTCGTTCTCCGAATTACTCGCCTCTATCTACACCCGCACAATCTCCCTTTATTGTCATTTAATTTCGCTGGAATTACCGAGCATGCGTTGAATAGCTCGTACACCGAGATTTATTTACAAGTGTTTTCGGAGTTGTGGAAGGTTCGCGGGAATGAATGCGACGCGGTGTGCCCTAATCCTGTTTCAAGCGAAAGTCAAACACATATGTTTCCAGGAGGTAGGTATATTGGCATTAATGAGATCCCTCGCGATAATAATGCACCTATTTGTTCCGTAGTCTTCTAATAATAAGTCTGAAACGATGGATGGAACGGTGAACAGATCCATGGAGATGCATTTATCGTGGTCGTTTTTTACGTGGCTTTCCCGAAGAATACCGGCGTTCGACGTTTGTTCCACGACTTTTGCTTTCATTGACGCTTGCTGGGATCACAGGCTCTCGTCGTGAAAGCATACGGGAGGAAAAATCGGATCGGCAAAGAAGGCGGAGGGCAGATCTCGAGAAAATAAGGACTCGCCGATCTTTGTCCGGATAAAAGCGACCCGGCCACGCCGCGAGTCTGTCTCCATCGCGTTCCTGTATGCTGCATTTCCTGCCGTACGAGGAAAAGCGCGGAACAGTGTAATGATGTCGAACGCTTTGTTCCTGGTTATTGTAGCTCCGTTGCAGCTTGAAAAATGAGAATCCTTTGGACTCTTTCTCTTTATACGATGTAACGGGGACTGGCGAACGCAAGAAATTGCGGGCAAGTATGTACTGCCCTACTGCAGCTGTTCGAACTCTCGATGAGATGAGGGTTAATGAATTCTTTGATATTATAAATATTACGTAAAATTTTACGAAAACTTTGTACACGTTTATTTTATGCTTGGCGTGCAATCTTGTCCACTGCTATGGACGTGAGATTAAAATTGCGAAGCGAACAAATACAAAGAAGTAGAAAGACAAAAGCACATTAGAGAAAGAACGAAAGAGGGAGATCAGATATTTTAATAAGATTTTATGGAAACTGTAGAGTTTAATGTACATGAAAGTGTTTTTAGTAGTAGCTAACGAACGCGTAAGAATTTTATTTTTCTAAATACCCCGAACACTCAGAGCTTTTGCAGTACTAACCGCAAGAACAAGACAGAGTCGGGACCATTGTAATTACTTCCATCGAGAAGCTCTAAACCAAACTGAAATTGCTCTTGATTAGCTTGCGGTCTCTCTATGCCTACTAATGAAGACCGCTATTATCGTCCTCGGTGTATTAACAGCGTGTTCTTAGCTGTTCTAGCTAAACACACTTTGACTATGTGTCGTCGCCTTTGAAAGCCGTCGACTGTTTCAGCATCCAACGACCGCTTATAATGGTGACACTGCGCGCAATAACGGATCAAGGATTGTGTTTGCATTTGACACCTAAATAGAGGATCGCTGGTGCGTTGCATCCAGCGGAAATCTAGAAATAAAGATTTTTAGGAAACCTGGCCGGCAAACACGCCTATTAAAATTCATTTGCTATCGAGTTTCCCTTTGAAACGCGAATAATTTTATCGACGAGTAAACGGATTTTCGTTGTAAATATTCAGGAAACATCGAGAGATCAATATCACGTAGCCTGTTGCTCCTGGGGGAAAATTTAAAAACTGCCTGTTTCCCGTTCTCGTGCAAGATTCCAATACCCGTACATAGTATTATATCGGCGATGAACGAAGAATATTTATTTCGCCGTCTTGAAACTGTAACTGTTGTTCGACGGTGATGGCATGTTTTGAAACTCACCGTTCGATTTCCAAGGTTTTTTACTTTGCACACCAGATGCACAGTTTTCCCCACCAATCCGGTGAAGTTCGATTGCATGGAGGTATCGAAATGGGGTCCCGTTCCAGGGGTTGGCCACTCCTCCAAAAAGTCGGTTCGAAAATTTCTTAGACATGATGCTATACCACCTGAAAATCAAACAAATGGACCATTACTCTTTTTTCCACAATTCGGGCACACAAACGAATTTACGATTGTCTATTCAATCTTCCACATTTATCGAAGAAAATATGTATCATGGTGCAACTTCTTTGCCGTTCCCTGCGCTTTGATTATTTTTAAACAACTGTAGGTGTTGAGTACACTTGAATGCATATTCGATTTTTATGCCTATTTTAATGCTACAGTTTGTGTACTTCCACTCTTGAAAGCTACACAACTTTGCTACTCTGTATTCTTTTTTATTTTTCTTATGTACTTTCCCGGTGCACCCTCTGCATTTAATCTGGCCAACACGAAGCTTACGAGACAAAAATAGAGAGAATGAAGTCTTGCTGAAGAGAGGAAAGCGGGGTTAGGAATTAAATAATCTCAAGCTAACTGGCTGCTATTCGGTTAAGCGATCTCTCGAGAGCTTACGTAAAGTCGGTAATTACCTATGGGACGCAAGACACTTTGAAAAGCTATGAACTTTCACAGAAATTAATATACGTCGTCTCGCGGACATTTTCTCGATGATAGAACAAATTTATTGTTGACGTTTCCATAAACTTCTCTCGTTGTGCCGCGTCGCACCTAGATGAGATTAGATTACAGGATGGACGTTGTTGTTTCAACTTTCGTGTACATTACTGTACATTCTTGAAACCAACATAGGATCATTATATTCGGAAACACGTTTTGTGAATCGATTAAATCTCAATTCAACAGATTCAACGCAATCTGTTTTGCCGTTTTTCGTTTATTTTGGATTTCGTTAGCTTTCGCGATAGAACGATCTTTCATCAACTGCAATTTTCCACTTGGGCACAGCGTAACAACATAAAACTGGCAGGATATCGCACGTAGAATATTGAATACGCCCATAACGAGTATGAACCGCGTGCACTCTCTGTTTTTTTGTTGCTTTTCACGATCGACCACTGTCGGCGCAAGATGCATAATCGCGTTCCCAGATACGCGTGTATCTGTAAAAAATATGGTGGAACTGTTACGCGTACATTCGACAAATTACTCGGTCCGAAATCGTTGTAATTTAGTAACGATATCTATATGCATGTTCGAACGGTTCACTGTTTTTCTACCAAAGTGTATGGCAATACTCGATTCTCGTTGTGAGAAGAATGCAATTTCTATTTTCACGAAACATTTAGCAAGACGATGTTGAAATATCAAATACGTTCGCTTAAATTACATGCGATTTCATTCCAAAATAAATAAAATTAATAAACGATTCACAGTACGTTCACGTAAATGTGTATAGCATAACAGTTAAAAGTATAGCTGGCATCAATCGTCGAGGAAATCGTTGACGGAAACGCGGTATCAATGAAAAAAAAAAACATTTCCGGTCCGTTTTGCTGGCAGTGAAACACGCAGCGACGGTCGATCGCGAGTTAAGAGGAGTTGGGGGCAGTTCCACGAGGGCAACAGCGTGTAACCGGACCGACAGTTTGGGGACTATCGAGCTATTTTGCTCCTATTCTACCGGAATAACATCCATAGAGTGCCATTGTTCACGAATGATCGACTCGCCTTCCGTCTCCCCATGCCATTCTCCACGGTCGATTTGTTCACTCTTTAAATTATGCAACGGAAAACGCAAGCAATCGCTTTGTACGCATTTTATTATTGCGCCTCGGAACCACGACCGTATACAATATATTTGCGAGTATTTTACAAGCAATCGCCGTTCGGAAAGTCGGTTGAATTTTGCAAACTCCTTATTATCCTATCGAAAAAAAGAACGAAGCGGTGGCAGTAAACGAAATCCTCGAATGTTCTATAAGAAATTGTAAAATAGAATTTTCTTCCTAGAATATTCTTACGAAGCATGCCAGTGGGCTAGAAGCTAGATCGTTTTTCGAACGAACGCGTTTAATCGATAGAAACGAGCGAACAGAAATTTAAATAAACCGAAGTGGGATTTAGGTAGGGCAAGTGGCGTGGCGGTTCGCAGGATGCAGAATCGCAACAGCGATCGGGCTCGGACTCGGGCTCGCGCGAATTCACCAGGGATCCATTTGTTTTTCGGGGAAAGAACAGGCGGCGTAATCGCGGATTCGATCGGCGAAATCCGATCAAAGGGCCAAAGCGGAAATCGAGAGGCGCGTTCAAATCCTGGGATCAGCGGAAGAGGGGTTGGGGTCGAAGTTGAAACGCGGACAAGAATGCCGGCGAGCTTTTCTTTGCGACTGCTCTTCGGAATCATCCGCGTGCAGAGAGGCACTTTCGCGGCAGAAAATTCTCTTTCGTTAGTTTACTAGACCATGCGCTCGTAGACTACGGTTCGGAGCGTTCCAGTCCGGAAGTGGTTAAGACGAGTTCGCCGTAAGCACCGCCCAAGGTACACGTCCACTCTACTCATGCTCCCCAGCCATTGATTCCGCCGAAGATGCACGTGTGCGGTACGTTCCTCCTCCTTTCTCTTGAGCTGCTGTTTTACGGTATCGCTTTACCATTTCTCCACAAGTTCGATCGCAGGGTACAATAATACAAACAAAACGGTATCGACAGTCGGTCGTTTTGTGCCCCGATTTCAATTTTCAACGTGAATGCGTACTAGATCTGCAAATTTATCAAGCAATCATTGAAAATAATCCCTGCTAAACCGCGCGAGAAACAATTTCTACGGGAACATACAACGATCAGGCAGTTGTCAAACACAAGTCAACGACCGAATAAACGCGACGCTTAAACTCTAATGTCGAATAAAAAATAAACGCCTTGTTACTCCAGTGAAAGAAATGTAATCCAATTTTGAAAGACATCGTCCGGTTGTGGTGGAAAAATGGCTTTTATTCGAAAATCGCAAGCCATCGGAACAATAGCAGGCTTGCGAAGGGAATGGGTGAATCAGACGCTAAAACCACTGCTTCTCCTAAAAAAGACAATACCCGATACGTATGTACGTGGTATTCATTTCCACAAAGTATTATTCCGTTTACAAATTACCCTTGAGTATTTACAAAATATTTACTAATTTTCGAATTTGTAAAGATAGTAATTGTGAAGTATGCGACATTTCCAATGTCAACATTGATTTTAAATCGTAGTAGATTACCAGTGAAATCCATAACGCTAGTGAGATATTTCTTTTGTTTCTATTCGTGAAACAATCGATCGTAGGTGGATACTTGCTGGAATACACATATGTATGTAGTAAGATGTAAGTGAGGAATACATACAATGGAAATTCTTGGAGGATGCAATGCTTCTCGGCGCGCTGCTTCATGGTTATTAAAATCTAGCTTGCAAGCAATTTCACCATGCCGGAAACGAATTCTCCGGATGCGTTTTGGAACGCATGTTACGCGTGGAAGAAACGTTTCCAGAACGAACTTGTTCCTCGTGGGAAAATTTAAAGATCTCCGGTGCTCTGAACCCTTAAACTCTCGAGCGGGCATGCGAGAGTTAAGACGAGTCGGCTAAGAGCACCGCGAGTAACAAAACCACTACGCCGCCAGTTGTACTTCGACGAAAATTAATTTTGTCCCGGCACACCATGGTTGAATTTTCGTTGGCGACGTGTCTCGACTTTTCACGAAATTCACTGCGACTCCGTGAAGTGACAAAATTGCACGGGCGATGTCTAGAAAATATCTTTCCCGACATTCTATCCACTCGGCGGTCACGGTTCCCTTTTCGTCGACCGATCTACTTGGATCTTTGGGGAGCTTCATTTCGCGGCTTTTCGATCGCAACTCGGATTAAATGTGGAAACACCGAGCGACGCGATAATCCGAGTTCTCGCGTTTTCATGAATTAATTTCACGCCGGATTTCGCAAGCACGAACTTTTCCGCTATCCGTTTACGTTTCCAATGCATTTCGCCAAACGCAAAATGGAGAGCTGATACTACATATATGTATGTGTAGTTCTGTATAGCATTTTATAAGGTATTCTGTAACGTTTAATTAAGTACGACAAATATACAAACGCTTTGATTAAAAAGGAGAAATTTGCTAAACTCCGAACGAGCGGACAATGAAACTATAATGATCTTTGCAATTAATCACCAATCCTAATTTGAAATGTTTAGAGATGTTTATTTCCTTTTTGCGAGTTGAAAACGACGTTCATTTCCGCTAAAGAGATGCTTTTATATCGTCAGATTTTTCTTCGTTTTGCAACCAAAAGTTCGTCTACAGGGGCTGCATTCTGCAGCTTTTTCCGGCGAAAGGGGGTCAAATAAGTTCGCTCTGTGTATCGGATAATCTATGAGGCAGCGACTGGTCCGGAAATTAATTTTGCGCCTGAATCTACAGTTTCATCTTTCTAAAATTTTATCCGGAGTTTTAACGAAACACTTCCGCAGTAACCATAATTAACTTGGTGGAACAGTATTTAAACTGTACAGTTCAATGTACAATATAGGTAATGACGAATACAAGAAGATTTACATTCGCAAGTAAGGAAAGAACTTTTGATTCTTCCGAATTTTTGCTCAGAATTTACATCGACCGAAAATATTTGGTGGCGCAATATAGCTGAACTGGTATAGAGCCAGAGAAGTTCCCGTGAGACCAAGTTTCTTGGAAGACGGTGACGCGGATTTTCTCTTCGCCACCACATAAGATGTCACATCCCTGTCATCCTTGTCTTAGAAGTTTCGAAGAACCTTCGGAACGTACCCTGGCATAGTGGATGACTTTGCAATAGCCTTATAATTATTTGAACGGTCGGTGGCTGCCGCTTGTCCGTCACAGCTAACTACCGTAGGAGCACTCCCCGCGACAATGAAGGCCACCGGTTGGTTTGGTTGCTCGCCGCAAAATCCTATTTCGTCCCATTCCGCTCTGCCCTCGTTTCCATTATCCCTTCTATCCGAGTGCAACTTTTACGAGTGGCTAAGATAAATTCCATCCGCTTCAATTTCTCCATTTTTCGCTGCTGTTCTATCATCGAGTTCAATGCACCTATTGACCTTAAAAATATTTCTTTGACGTCGACATCGATCCTACTGTTC